TGCTCTGTCGTCCAGGTTGGAGTGTAGTGGCGTGATATCGGCTCACTGCAACCTCTGTCTCCTGGGTTCAACCGATTCTCCTGCCTTGGCCTCCCGAGCAGCAGGGACTACAGGTGTGCACCACCATGCCTGGCTAATTTTTGTATTTTTAGTACAGACAGGGTTTTACTATGTTGGTCAGGCTGGTCTCGAACTCCTGACCCCAAGTGATCCACCCACCTCGGCCTCCCAAAGTGCTGGGATTACAGGTGTGAGCCACCGCACCTGGCCCTTGCCTATCTTTCTGACCTCATCTTGAACTACTCTCCTCTCCTGATGCTTACATTGCGCTTTTCATTTACTTTTCCTTCTCAGTGGCTGATCTTCTTCCAAGTCTTCCTGCAGATGGGCTCCTTCTCATTACATCATGTTCTCATACATAATACTGTTACTACACTGCACACCATATTACTCTTTATACAATTGCCCTGCTTTATTCCATTCACTGGGCATTGATAAATATCTGAAATAACTTTATTTATCTATCTCCTATACTAGAATATGAACTTTATGAGTGTTGTCTTATTGTTGCTGTATTCCCAGTGTCTAGCATCAAATATTTATTGAATGAACCAAACCAAACACAATATATATATGGAAATGCAAAAGAAATTCAAAGTTTATCATTTTAAAAGACTGAAATGTTTATCTTCAGATTTTCTACACTATGCATTGTAAGAATAAACAGTGTCTAATTACACAAAGTAATTGTGCCACCATGTGCACATTAGTAATCTAATTATACAAAATAAATGTATTTTAAAAGGGAAAAGGCAGGCCAGGTACGGTAGCTCATGCCTACAATCCCAGCACTTTGGGAGGCTGAGGTGGGCAGATCACTTGAGGTCAGGAGTTTGAGACCAGCTTGACCAACATGGTGAAACCCCATCTCTATTAAAAATACAAAAATTAGCAAGGAAAGGTGGCACATGCCTATAATCCCAGCTATTTAAGAGCCTGAGGCAGGAGAATCCTTGAACCCAGGAGTCAGAGGTTCCAGTGAGCTGAGATCACACCAATGTACTCCAGCCTAGGTGACAGAGTGACTCCGTCTCAAAAAAGCCCCCCCAAAAGAAAACAGAAAAGGAAAGAGTTTTATCATTTCTTCATTAACAGTTTCATAAACAAAATATATCTTAAGTCTACCTATTAAAATTGTTTATTGTATTTCCTTGACATTAAAATGCAAAAATCTTAAAAATAAGAATTAAAGTCAGTATTCATTCTACAGTTTTATAACAGAAATCCCCCCCATTAATATTTAGATATTCAATTTAGAAACGGTTAACTTAAGGCAACCAAAATTTTAATACTGCTATTTGGTAAAAAGACTGCAAAAATGAAGGTGATATATACTTACACTTGGTCCTTGGGTTTCCTGCAGCCATTTAAGAATGTGGGTCAAAGAGAAAGTTTTAAAATTAAGTAATTTTGTTTGTCTGAGAGTACATTAACTAGTTAAATTTTACACAATTTAATACTGAAAAACTTCATTCTAGTTATCTTTAGTAGGCTGTTTAGAAGTTCTTAAGTTTTCAACTTAATTATTTTTCTTTTTAAAAATAAATAGCTTTACTGATATAGATAATCATATATCACATAAACTGTACAACCTTCAATTTAATTTTAAAATGAAGTTTATTGATTTAGTTTACTTCATTTGTATAATTTTTATTATAGAAAATCCAAAAAGTAATGTTAAAAAACAACTATTTTGTCTACAGACAATCATATTAACATTTTGGCATATTCCTTTCAGTATTTTTCTTTATGCATATATATATATATATTTTTTTTTTTTTGAGACAGAGTCTAGCTCTGTCGCCCAGGTTGGAGTGCAGTGGCACGATCTCAGCTCACTGCAACTTCCGCCTCCCAGGTTGAAGCAATTCTTCTGCCTCAGCTTCCTAAATTGTTGGAATTACAGGTGCACACCACCATGCCTGGCTAATTTTTGTACTTTTAGTAGAAACAGGGTTTTGCCATGTTGGCCAGGCTGGTCTCAAACTCCTGACCTTAGGTGATCCTCCTGCCCGAGTCTCCCAAAGTGCCGGGATTACAGGCCTGAGCAACTGTGCCAGGCCAATGCAGTTTTTACTTTGGATGTAGTTTTTAGTTCTTTTGCACACCTGTGCCACACCATAGAGTTTTATATCCTATTTTCTTTTTTTGAGACAGAGTGAAATTTCACTCTTTTTGCCCAGGCTGGAGTGCAATTGTGCAATCTCGGCTCACTGCAACCCCATCTCCTGGGTTCAAGTGATTCTACTGGCTCAGCCTCCTGAGTAGCTGGGATTACAGATGCGTGCCAGCATGCCTAGCTAATTTTGTATTTTTAGTAGAGATGGGGTTTCACCATGTTGGCCAGCTTGGTCTCGAACTCCTGACCTCAGATGATCCACCCACCTTGGCCTCCCAAAGTGCTGAGAGTACAGGCGTGAACTACTGCGCCCAGCCTTTATCCTATTTTCACATCATAACTACTTGTCATACATTATTGTAAACTAATAATAACAGTTAAAAGCTACTGAATGCTAATTATTTATCAGGCACTGTTCTAGACAGTATTAATCACTTAATAATCTCAATAGCCCAAGAGATTATTCTCATTTATCAGTGAGAAAATTGAGGTACTAAAAGGTTATGTAACAGGTTCAAGGTCACAAAGGTAGTAAGTGGTAGAGAAATAAATATAACACAACCAATTGCATAAAATTCCAATGTTATGAAACACAGTTTACATAACTATTTCTATTTTAGACATTTAGCTATTTTGAATGCTTTACTATCATAAATAAAGCTATACAAACATGTTTTTGTTATTTTCTTTTTTCTTAGTTTTTATCCTTAGAAAAAATTTCCCAGAATCAAAATCATTCTGTCACGGGATATGATGTTTCAAAGCTCCTGATACATATGGTAATAAACGTTTTCCCAAGCGGTTGAACTGATTTTCAGTCACTAGTAACAAGAATGCCCATTTCACAGCAGCCTCACCAGTACTGTGTTTTATTTTTTAAAAATAGTTGACCATTGTTGTTTTAACGCTACATTTATTACCAGCAACGTTGAACATTTCTTTATATCTGTGCATCAGTTTCATTTCTTCTTCTGGGAATAGTCTGACGTCATCTTGAAAATCAAGTTAAGAACTGTTCTAAACCTCAACTGATACTGTAAATTGCATTTAAAACACGAGTGTTTCCTTAATAGCAAACATTTGACTTACTAACATTGAAATCTAGCACAAGTCTCCCAAGAAATAGAAGTACAATTTCTTTACTGTACAATACAAGTACAATCCTATGTTAATTTTTAAAAGGCATCTTGTTTCTTAAGTATTTTCTGAACTGATGACTAGATTTACTGGTTTAGAAAAGTTGGTTACTATCTGTCATTCCTTTTGGTGACTAAATATACCAATAAATAAACAAGACAAAAGATTTCTTAGATATCACAAAAGGATATAATAAGGATTTTCTAACAATAAAGAAGCCATTCGGGCTTCTTTAATCATAGGACGGGCCATTAGTGTTCGTCGCCTCCAGTAATGCTAAGGAAACAAAAGAACACATACTCAAAGGATATAGTAGCCACATCTGTTAAGAAGAATATGTCAACAAATTATCTAGAGATTAAAGCATTATAATAAAGTCTTTTTTTCCCCCCTTAATGCCACTAATAAGCCAATATAATAAAGTCTTACATGATCTCCTGTTCCAGCAAGATGAATGCATACAGGTCTATATTTGCTGTTCCATTCTTTAGGCACAATAAATTGGAACCTATTTTTAAAAGCACAGACATATCAATAAAATTCTCTTTAAAGGACTTTCAATAAAAACTTTCAATTCTTAAAAATGTTACATTCAAAGTATTTGAGAGAAAAGATCAGTCTAAAAATTTTGACATTCAAATTGTAATTAACTATATTAAGTTGTCCAAAAGCTATAAAGATACTGCAAATCTGCTTTGTTTAGATATTAAAATCTTCAATACAACATAAACATAGAATTTACTGTCACTGTTCTTTACCTTGTTCAATATCACAACTTTATAAATACATAATGAAATTTTCTTATCTTGTAGAGACACCACCATATATGCGTAAGCCTTAAAAGAAATAACTTGGCCGGGCGCGGTGGCTCACGCCTGTAATCCCAGTACTTTGGGAGGCCCAGGTGGGTGGATCACGAGGTCAAGAGATGGAGACCATCCTGGTCAACATGGTGAAACCCCGTCTCTACTAAAAATACAAAAAATCAGCTGGGCATGGTGGCGCGTGCCTGTAATCCCAGCTACTCAGGAGGCTGAGGCAGGAGAATTGCCTGAACCCAGGAGGCGGAGGTTGCGGTGAGCCGAGATCGCGCCACTGCACTCCAGCCTGGGTAACACAAGCCATACTCCTGCTTCAGCCAAAAAAAAAAAAAAAAAAAGAAAGAAAGAAATAACTTTTTTTTTTTTTTTGAGACGGACTCTTGCTCTGTCACCCAGGCTGGAGTGCAGTGGTGTGATTTTGGCTTGCTGCAACCTCCGCCTCCTGGGTTCAAGCAGTTCTCCTGCTTCAGCCTCCGGAGTAGCTGGGAGTACAGGTGCATGCCACCATGCCCAGCTAATTTTTGTATTTTTAGTAGAGATGGAGTTTCACCATGTTGGCCAGACTGGTCTCAAACTCCTGAGTGATTCACCCACCCTGGCCTTCCAAAGTGATGTGATTACACGCGTGAGCCACCACATCTGGCCAAAAGAAATAACTCTTTTTTTTTTCAGACGGAGTTTCACTCTTGTTACCCAGGCTGGAGTGCAATGGCGCGATATCGGCTCACCGCAACCTCCGCCTCCCGGGTTCAGGCAATTCTCCTGCCCCAGCCTCCTGAGTAGCTGGGATTACAGGCACGCGCCACCATGCCCAGCTAATTTTTTGTAGTTTTAGTAGAGACGGGGTTTCACCATGTTGACCAGGATGGTGTCGATCTCTTGACTTCGTGATCCACCCGCCTCCGCCTCCCACAGTGCTGGGATTACAGGCTTGAGCCACCGCGCCCGGCCTAAGAAATAACTCTTTATAATCCAACCTTTTCTCTTTGCAAAAGAAATGCTTGGCTGTACAAGCTGTTGATGTATCAATAAAACAGTTTATGTTGTCTGTTTTTTTTTTTTAACTTTTAGTGTATGATAGACTCTGAATCATTAAAATTTTGATACTTACAAGTAAAGCCAATCCATGCCAGAAAACAAAAAACACAAACGTACAGTTTTCTCTCTTTGACTTTTTTTTTTCTTTTTAAAGTCCAAAGCAACTCTGTCTTTTTTTTTTCGAGACAGGGTCTTGCTGTTGCCCAGGCTGGAGTGCAGAGGCAAGATAACAGCTCACTGCAGCCTCAACTTCCTGAGCTCAAGTGATCCTCCTACTTTAGCTTCCCAGGTAGCTGGGATTACAGGTATCTGCTACCAAGCCCAGCTAATTTTCTATTTGTTGTAGAGATGGGATCTCGCTATGTTGCCCAGGCTGGTCTCAAACATCTAGACTCAAGCGATCCTCCCACTTTAGCCTCCCAAAGTGCTGGGATTACAGGCATGAGCCATCGCACCTCATCTTTGTTTTTAATTAGTGTAGTATTTTGGTCCTGATTTAATGTTTTATTTATTTATATACCATGGCCTCTTTAATAACTAAGATTACAGACAAGAGTTAACACACCTGTCCGTTTTAACCATTTTTAAGCTTATGATTCAGCGACATTAAGTACAGTAACATGGCTGTGCAACCATCACTACCACCTATCTTCAAAATATTTTTATCTTCCCAAACTGATTTCTCATTTTAATTTCCTTAGCAGTTCATACTTTAGAATTACTATCATAGTAAAAGACTGTACTCTTTCAGCTGAAGGTTTGACCTGAGGTGACAACATTCTTAGGGAACATAAAATCTCAATTCTGAGCTGAAAACTTTGCTTAGACAGAAGGGGTAATATCACCATTTATCCACTGTCTATAAATTGCAGAATAGACCAAAGACAAATAAATTTAGGATGGGTTTTTTTTTTTTGAGACAGAGTCTTGCTCTGTCACCCAGATGGGAGTCCAGTGGCACGATCTCAGCTCACTGCAGCCTCCACCTCCCAGATTCAAGAGATTCCTCCCCAGCAGCAGGGACTACAAGTGTGTGCCACCACGCCCGGTTAACTTTTTTGTATTTTTAGTAGAAACGAGGTTTCACTGTGTCAGCCAGAATGGTCTCGATCTTCTGACCTTGTGATCCACCCACCTCGGCCTCCCAAAGTGCTGGGATTACAGGCGTGAGCCACTGTGTCAGGCCTAATATGATTTAATAATTATTCTTGTTTTGTGCTGATGGGAACTCTTTCTTTTTTTTTTTTTTGAGACGGAGTCTTGCTCCATCACCTAGGCTGGAGTGTAGTGGTGCGATCTTGGCTCACTGCAACCTCCATCTCCCAGATTCAAGTGATTCTCCTGCCTCAGCCTCCCAAGTAGCTGGGACTAGAGGTGTGTACCACCACTCCCGGCTAATTTTTGCATTTTTAGTACAGACGGGGTTTCACCATATTGGCCAGGCTGGTCTTGAACTCCTGGCCTCGTGATCTGCCCACCTCGGCCTCCCAAAGTGCTGGGATTAGAGGTATGAGCCACTGTGCCTGGCCTTTAATTGGAATTCTTTATTGCAGTACTAACTGACCACCCACCTAATTAATCTCAGTCATTGGTCTGTCTGCTCAAATTCTACTATCTTCTAACAGTCTTCCCCAGTATCCCATGACGAATGGGTACAGGCCATGTGAATCCTCTGCCACAGCTGACTGGGCCAAGCATAAGCCAAATTAAGGCTATGAGATTTTTTTTTTTTGGTAGTATGGAATTGGGACAGACTATAGCTAGATTCTGTTGAGCTTTTGGATATGAAAGCTCTGTGGGGCTGTGGTAGCTATGTTTTGTTAGCTGTATAAGAAATGAGGAGGACAGACTGCCAATGACATAGACATAGGGCATAAAGAAGAGAAAAAAGACTGTGCAATAGGGAAGAAGATGAAGTAAGAAATGTATTCCCTTGGATCTTGACGCCTTCCCATTTCCCGCTTCTAAAATCTCATGAGGTAGAAAATGCACACAGGAGGTCAGGTGCAGTGGCTCATGTCTATAATCCTAGTGCTTTGGGAGGCCAAGATGGGAGGATCTCTTGAAGCTAAGAGTTGGAGACCCTGTCTCTGCAAAACTAAGAATAAAAAAATATTAGCTGGGTGGGCTGGCATGGTCCTGTAGTCCCAGCTACTCAGGAGGCCAAGGCAAGAGGATCACTGAAGCTCAGAAGTTTAAGGCTGGAACCAGTTGTGATCAGGCCATTACATTCCACCCTGGGTGACAAAGTGAGACCCTGTCTCTTAAAAAAAAAATGCATACAAGTTGACTTGCTTTTCATTCCCTTACTGGCAAGATGACAAA